TATTGGAGGATATTTATTGTAATAAAATATTTTTTATATGAAATGGAAATACATAAATTTTTGTAAAAAAAAAATGAATTATAAATTATGATTTAAAAAAAGAACATCCATTTCCTTATTATTTTTTGAAGCTTGATCTATATTCTTTATGTGCATATATGTAAGGCACATTTTTGAAGGAAAAGTGAATAATAATACTCACTGAAGCGAACATATTTAGCAGTGCAGTGCAGAGATGGTGAACAATGACTGTCTCGTCCTTGGCCAGGAACCTGACTTTATACCTCCAGCCAGACCCCCAGTTATCAGCTTCTCCCATCACGCTCAACCAAAGTCACAAGTGACTGTTCGTGTTCCTCTTTCTGGTTGAAATTCGATTATCTTGTTATGTAAGTGTAATATATTGGACAACACACAAACCTAGGCTTCTCCACATTGAACAGAGTTTTCAAATTTTAATTTTTAGGTGAACTATTGACGCTATAATTAAAATTAATATGCTTGACATTTTAATTATTTAGCACAATGCTCCGTTGATACTTGGTTTACTGATGCTGAGTTATACAAGCCTGACGAACCTGATGTTACCTTCAGTCAAGAATTCGATATTATTTCGATAAATTAAATGCATTTCTGTTTCTCCGTCATCTGCCGTCCCTAGATACCACGGCAACATCTGCCACCTAGTATACCAACTTATCTTATGTTTGAGGTCTGGGAGTGTGGGTCTGAGATGTCCATCTATTTAAATGATTTGGATAAATAAAATTAAATTGTAGCTGAATTTAAATAAGTTGCAGGAGATAGGGAGATAATGAACAGCAGTCTGAGAACCTTTAGTGCATGTAGATAGTTTAGGCTTAAACGGTGTGCTCATGTCTGTATTATATCAAAAAATGTCAGACCTCAACTGCAACGGTATTAGAGATCAGCGTTTGTGAGTATTTCGTCTGTTCTTGCGAATTCCTGGCATTGTTAAAATCTGTAGTTGGTCGATGCATGCAGGGATGAGATGAAAACTGTAAGCCTCCTGCCTGAAAGCTGGCTGCCTTGGGTCAAAACCTCTAGCGTGAACTGGGCGCCAAGGTATTGCCCCGTGTGGGTTTCAAATGGTAAAGTACTTCGTACCTTATTCCAAGGTTCGTAGGTTCGAATCTCCTTTGTCTAGAGATCAGTGTTGTTTAATATTTCGCCTCTACGTCTACAGCAGCTTTACCCCCTGGGGGTCTTGCTCCGTGGTAAAATGTTGTGGATTCTGATACAGAGTTTGCCGGTTCGAGTCCTGCTGTAGACGTAGACAATGTTTATATATATATATATATATATATATATATAATATATATATATATATATAATATAAATGTGTGTGTGTGTGTGTGTGTGTGTGTGTGTGTGTGTGTGTGTGTGTGTGTGTGTGTGTGTGTGTGTGTGTGTGTATCGTGCCGAATAGGTAAAACTTGCGATTTTGGTTTAAATAGCAACAACCTTCTTGCCGAATAAAGCAAGGGAGAATTTGTGTATGCAATAATTTCACAAAAATCATTCTGAACCTAACGAAAAAAATATATTTCAATGAGTATGTTTATCATTTAATTTTTGTAAACTTATCTAAAATATATTTAGTTGGATTAGGCTAAATTAAATTGCACTTGTTATAATATGGTTAGGTAGGTTTTCTAAGGTTCTTCTGGTACAAATTTATTTATTTTTACATTAACATAAATGAACAAAAAAGTATCTTTAAACGTATAAGAGAAAATTTTAGAAAGGACTAAATTTTAAATGAGTTCTTGTTAATTGAGCAATTTAACTGATCGGTATGACATATATATATATGTCTATGCATATTCATGATATAATACATATGACTGTTAAGTAGCATATATTATGTGGTTCTTCAAGCTTAAATAGCCAAAACATCGATCATAATACTTAATACTTCAAGAACCCTCTTGTGATAGAGACTAAACAAGGTTAGATTCGTGATCAGTGTATCAAAGTTACCTTAAAACAACCAGTTGAAATTTTGAACGAGATAAAATGTTAAAAATCGTAGGTTAGTGTAATTAGTAGTTGTGGGAACTGTGTGGACGTGAGTTACATTGTTATATTAGGGCTGTGGTACTGAAATATAATTGAGTAGGTAATACAGAATAGCAGTTACACTTAAGTAGACCATGAACTACAGCTTGAGCTTCAGCAGCGAATACAGAAGCTGAAGCTGTTCTTAATTCCTGTGAGGCTCATAAACTGGAACTTAGCTTATTGAATGATCAGATTTAAGGTTTGGGTGTCGTGAAGAGTCTCACATATGAGCTCAAACCAGCGGAAATATGCCGAAAGTCGAATCTCATTTTTTTTTATTTCACAGTTATATAAATTAGAAGTCCTGAATCTTGAACTCATTCGCTTATGTATGATGGCCAAGAGGAGGAGGTCATCAAACTTAGCTAGGACAATTGCCTAAGTTAGCCCCACAAGTTTAATCAGTTTCAAATGTTCGTAAATTCTTTGGCAATTGGTTTTGCATACCTAAAAAAAAAAAGGATTTAGTTAAGAAAAAGTCAGAGTATTGTGACTGCAACAGTTCCGAATTAACCCACAGATTTCAGATGAAAGAAGATGACGTTTGTGTTTCTTCTGGACAATAAGCAAATAGCGAGTGAGAAAGAAAAAAGAGAAAATTGCAAGTCATTCAGTGCACTGACAGGAGAGGCGATTAAATAATAACTGTAGCCACAGAAAAGGAGGAGAATGATTCTCTATTGTTTTAGCTAACACACTTGTAAATATGCAAAGAATCGCAGACGGGCGATCTTAACTATGTAGGACAAGCCACGGAGGGGGGGGGAGGGGAAGAGAGGGGAGGGGGGAAATCTTTAGCTCAAGTACTTTCACACTTCTCAGTGCGTCATCAGGAGCTGTGCAATGTTGCAAGGGAGCAACCAAAGCAGGGAGAGAGGTCTCAGAGTAGCATAGGTGTCACATGTAAATATATATAACTCATTTTACCTTATTCCTAGTATATCTCCTTTATAGTATAATAATAAGATATTATCTCTTTATAATGCAGTGTGTCCACAAGAACACTCCCTGATTTCAAACAGGTATAACGTGTAACTTTATTGTAATAATCTTTCACAGTTAGTAGCTTCAGATGCAGGATTTCATTCAGTTTCACGAGGTATAGCGTAGTATTAAGGCACTCGATGTGCGCCTCTCTGGTTGCTTGGCAAACATCGCTGTGATAGTCCAATTCGGTCCAGACACTCTGCAGCATATCTGGTGTTATCATGCGAACAGCTTCAGTGATCGAAATTTTCAGTTCCTCCAGGGTTGCAGGTAGTGGTGGTACGTAAACTGTGCTCTTCACGTACCCCCAAAGAAAGAAGTCACAAACAGTTAAGTCCGGTGACCTTGCAGGCCACTTGCAGAATAAAGCTTTTGTAAATGAAATAGGAAGTCTCTCATCTCTTGCTCATCTTCTTCAGTGAAGACACCTGGCTATGATTTCTCTGTATTTTTAATTTACTGAATACATTGTCATCCCTTACCCTCTTCGATATTAAACATGCACTCCACTACACTTCGATACTAAATACACACTATACTACACTTCGATACTAAATACACACTATACTACACTTCGATACTAAATATACACTATACTACACTTCGATACTAAATATACACTATACTACACTTCGATACTAAATATACACTATACTACACTTCGATACTAAATATACACTATACTACACTTCGATACTAAATATACACTATACTACACTTCGATACTAAATATGCACTATACTACACTTCGATACTAAACATACACTACATTACACTTTGAAAAGACGTTGGGTCAGGCATTTTCAACTCATCACATTGATAATTAAGATTTTATTCGATTTACTTCTCTTTTACGGAGAAAAAAAGAAAACAGGCGAGGAAGACGCTCTTAGAGACTTTATAAACACCATATAACAGCTCTCTAAACTTTTATTAACAACAATAATTTCTGTCATGTTAATGCCCTGGAAGACTCAGTCGTATTTACAATATTCTTAGTTACAATATTCTTAACTTGTGCTGCCAATACTCAGCATAACCAGAGGCATTCCATGTGTACTATTAAATTTTATCCAGTTTTGTTAAAAACTGCATCATGTGAAAATAAATAATTTTTATTGCTTATTAATTATTATTGTTATTCTTTATTATTATTATTATTATTTATTTGTTTGTTTATTTATTTATGTATTTGTTAATGCTGCTCATTCTCACGTATAAAATACTGCCACATCATGTACTCAACATCTTTTAGGTCAATAATTCCAATAATCATGTCTCCTTGAAATAATAATTTATAATTTGTATAACTAAATAATGGTAACACGAATGGTTTGTTCTTTTCTTTATACCTCAAATCGGTTTCTGGATAAAATTTCATTTAGTGGTCATGTTTATGCAGCTTCTGACAATTTGCTATTTACAATATTTTTAAATAAATTTTTTTCTTATCAAACTCATGTTTTTACTTTTACCCAAAAAATACACAGCAACTAAACTCTTTGAATCTTTGAAGTTTTGCAAGCTATTTATCATACAAGATTAAAAATATTTTCTTTTAAATTAATAATCCTAAGATTCATTAAATAAAAACTGGCGTCTCATTATCTCCTATGCTAAGTTCATGTAACATTTCTCACTGGGAACTCATTAGGAAATATATAAATAAATTTATTTTCATATGTATTATTTTATATTAAGTATTTACATTCTTCAGATCATTTGTCAAAAAGTTTTTACGTTCATAAATTTTAAAATAAACCGGCAACTGCTTGACAAACAAACTACAAAGTTGGAAAAAAACACCCAACAATGCTGACTTAACAATGAAAACAATTAGTTCATCACTCTATGTTGACTTTTCGTTTTATGAATTGAGTGTTAACGTAAGTCTAGTAAACCAGCAGATGCTTGATCACTCTCAAATGTAATTAGCTGACAAAAACAATGTTTTATAACACAACCGTCCTATTCCATTATAAATAAAACAACATCAACATTAAGACTTAATTTATTACCGATGCATTCTGAAGAGTATGTAATAATATAAATCATTGTCAAATTAGAAGATATGTTAGAATAAGTTTTGTTAATAAATGACTAAGACAAATTATAATTATGGGGGCATCATTTAGTAACCATAAGATGGAGCATAACTGGGATGCTTGGCAGTGCCCTGGAAGGACACGGTAGCATGATATCCACTACCGTCAGCCCAGTAATCAACTCTCTCGAGTCGACCGTCTGGAAGTTGGACCCAGTAGGAGCCCTTGGCGTTGCCACCGTTACCACTCTCTTGCTGGCCAAAGTTGGTGGCTCCAGCGTTGACGTCATAGTTGAAATTATAAGGAATCGGAGCCTGTGGACACATCAAAATACTTGAATTATTAATCTTCTTCTTCCTATAATAATAATAATAATAATAATAATAATAATGATAATAATAATAATAAAATAATAATAATAATAAATAATAATAATAATAATAATAAATAATAATAATAATAATATTTATTATTATTATTATTATTATTATTATTATTATTATTATTATTATTAGTAGTAGTAGTAGTAGTAGTAGTAGTAGTAGTAGTAGTAGTATTACTATTGTTGTTGTTTTATATACATTTTGTTTGAACACTGAGCATGCACACATGTATGACATTTTAAAAATTATTAAAAATTAAAGAACTATGGGATGACGAACATAGGAGGGCTGTTGGTATCCACCTGGGAGAGCCACACCTGCGGCCACCAGCATACTCATCAACATCACCTGTGCGAAAACAAGTCTGAATGTGGAAGGTTGTCATATTCTACTGTCACATAAAAAAATATGAACATGGATATTGTGCAAATTAGTTTACATTATTAATGGGAACTACATAATTATCTGAGTTTCAAAATTCAACAGATTGTGACTGTTTTTAAACTATATTTAATAGCAGAATATATGTCTGGAAAGTCAATTTGCCATAACGATTTTGAGATTTGAGATTTGCATTTAAGCTATGAAAGGAAGATCAATAAAAATATTTGAGATATATCATTAAGAAAGGTCAGCAGTGAACATGCAAAGGGAAAGGTAGTGTTTAAAGTCGAACATTCAGTCTCTCTAGTAATGTGAATAAGGAAAGTAGCAAATACATAATTATTATTATAAGGTTGAAGGAGATCCTTGATGTGAATTATGATATGAAGTTAAACTAAATTACATTAATGAATGGCAGATCATATTTTCGCTTTTAAATTATAATTGTAAAAAACAACTCGTTTCGAATTCTTAATTTTTGGCATTAATTTCTTGAAAATAGATATAAAGAAAAGCAAATTTTAGTTTAGATAGAGTAAATAATAATACTCACAGAAGTGAACATATTTAGTAGTGCAATGTTGTGATGGTGAGCAGTCACTGTCTCCTTCCTGGCCTGGTGCCTGGCTTTATATCTCCAGTCAGACCTCCAGTCATCAGCCTCCCACCACACCCAGACAAGGTCGAGTATGACAAGTCGGTTTCATCTCTGGTTGAGCTAAGAACTGCCATTCTGGGAAGTGTCTCAGGAATATATTGGGCTCTACAGAACTCTAGTGCTCTCTACCTCAAGTTTATATTTTTAGTGTAGATGGATGGCTCAGAGAACCAACAAGCTGATAAATTAAACGTTTTCTGAATTATGAACTTATTTCAGATTTTTAAAATAATTGGTGTGTTAATTATTTAGCACAAAACATGTTTTATACTTGGAATACTGGTGATGAGAGTAAGGTGCCTGTTAAAGTAAGATGATGTTATGAGAAACCATCATTGCCCTTATCACCTGAGGAGGTTCTGGAATATATATATATCGTGTTGCAAAAATCAACACATCACGAGCATGCATTGGTGCAGATAGGAGGAGGAGGTCGAAGCACATACGGTATTTGCTTGGACCTCCTCTTTTCTGTATCATTGCAAATTCCCGATGCTTTGTTGATTGCAACACGAAAGGCCTAGAGCTATCATTCAACTCCTCCCTAGGATTCGAACCCATGCTGTACTGGCCCTTCATTGTGAGCGAGAACCACAATACCAGCTTTCAGGGAGAAGGTTTACAACTTTACATCTCATCCCCTGCATGCATCAACCTTACTAGGTACCAGATATTGAGCTTGTTGCTTAGGCTGGAAGCTAGTTCTTCAAAAAAGAAAGGTTTAATTTCTTCTGGAATCCGCTCAACCAGGCAGTTGTTGACGGAGGTTGTTAACTCGGAGAGAAAAATTTATGCAGATGTGCCGAGTATTGGATTTAGCATCTCTTTGAGGTGTTGTTGTCGAATTCCAGTGTAACCTCCTGCAGATCCTGCTGGAAATGACACTGTCGCCTTATAGATGTCTGATTTTGGCTAAATTAATTGTCCAGTGATGAGGTCTTCCTCAGGGTTGTTGTTAACGACTATGGTGTGACTGGTGTCCCTTGTTGGGTGCTTTTCTCTTAGTGCTAGGGTTGTGGCCTCATCTTTGGGAGCAGTGTCGTCACTTGTAATTAATCTGATTGCTCCCACATTGTTTCTGCATCCACAGCAGGACTCGAACCTGCAAAATTCTGCATCAGGGCACACTGTACTTTGCCAAGGAGCCAGACCCCAGATAAGTATGGGTGATTAGCCGGAGCTAGACGATGTTTCTCCATACCCCGGGGCACCAGGCTTGTTTTCAAAGTAATTTCACTAATCCCGCCCATGCGTCCC